AAGTTCGCACGAACCGGCTGAATCCCACCACTGGATTCAACTACATGGTATATATATTTATACTATTAATAAATATACATAAAAACTATTTATTTCGACAATTGACAAAAACAACCAGAACCAATATACATATGTAATATTATTTTTAAAAATCTGACACCGATTCACTTACGATTGTGGTCTTCTTTCTTCTGAAGATCCTATGTTCCGTTTGTTAAAGTGCACTCAGGCTGATTCAATTACTTTAGAATTCAGCTTTAACGGAATAAGTTTATTCTTTCCACTGTTAATTTCACTCTAATATACATCAAACGTTAGACCTATCACTTTTACGTTATTTAAGTTTACACCAACTATATTCTCTTTGCTTTTATCTGCGTAATACTAATAGTAATACTGTCTGTCTGCTGCTTCCAGCTCGTCTCACGCTAATTATATCTTTATTGCATAGTCTTCTGGCCACTTTTTATATTCTCGACACCAATTAGTTATTGACAAAACATTCTACAATCGTCTGCTTTTATCTCTTATTATAAGAAAACTTAGAAATAATAAAATATTCACTCACAAATATAAATTAATCACTAATATTTATACCACACAGTCTTTTATATCATGGCATTGGTATTAATGTTAAATCTTAGTTAGTTACTGAATTATTCTTTCAGTTGAAAACAGTTATACAGGGTTTGTTTGTTTGTTTGAAGTTAAGCACAAAGCTACACAATGGGCTATCTGTGCTCTGCCCACCACGGGTATCGAAACCCGGATTCTAGCATTGTAAGTCCGCTGGCATACCGCTGTGCTACTGGGGGGGGGGGATTATACAGGGATATTGAATTATTTCAAAATTCGTATGTCGTTGATTTACTCCGCACTATTAGAAGTGAAACATAACCAATAAACGCCGCTATATCCATGGTCAATCAAAATCAATTTATCAAAATATGACAGAATTTCAAAATAAAACTTTAAAAGAATTACAAACTTTATCAGTTACAAGAAAACAGTAAACCCATGCCTGGCCAGGACCAGGTACAAATGGTAATAATTAATATACAATACAGCATAAACGTTAACGTTACTAATTTCAATAAATAATAAAACTAGGAAAAATATTCCAAAATTAAATGAAATATTATCACTTACAAAAAAAAATCCCGTTGGCCAACACTAGGTACAAAGTAATTACGAGAAAACACAATATTCCAAAATTAAACCACTTCTCAAGATCAATAACAATATCGAGCAATAATTCTTTGTAGCTATACCTCGTAAATTGTACCCCAGTGGCACAGTGATATTTTCTGCAGACTTACAACTCTAGAAACCGGGTTTTTATACCCTAGGTGGGCAGAGCACATATAGCCCATTGTGTAGCTTTGTGCTTAACTACAAACAAACAAACCTCGTGAACTAATTTGTTTTTTACATATATATATATGTTACAGATTTTTCTTCCAAATTCACCGAGGGTAAAAATTGAAAGGAGAAACCGTGACGTAGAAATCTAATGTAGAAATATATATGTAATCATTAAATACTTGCTCCGATATATAATATGGAATAATAATTTAGGCACAAGCTCTAACATTATTCAAATACCTAGATTATTTTAGGTTACTTTATTGGTGATTGAAAAGGACTTAAAATGCCATTAATTAGTTTTGTATATAATGGTCAGACCACGAAGTTACTTCTCGTGTTACGAGCTATTACAATAACTCTTCGTAACCCTTCGTAACATTAAATCTGGATGGCACCGCTAGGAGAAGCTTTTATCCATTTTATAATGCATATATACATACTCACACTGAACGAACTCCAGCTAAAGGGTGAGTTAATGCTTTTAAAATTAATGGATTAAAACATTTATAGTTGAACTAAACGATAGAAAGAATAATAAAGTAAAAGCATACTTCGCTATCTCACATGTATTGTAATATTGTGTTATCTGAAGTTGTAAATTATCTCATAATTCTAATCTATATGCAAATAGCCCGTTTTATAAGTTAGAATCGGTAAAATTTTCTTTTCCTTTGCCTATCTTGTACTAATACATTTGTACTTCCATTATTAACACACACTTTGAATGTTATTATTAGTACTTCTACTCGGAGTGTCAGAGGGAATACTGGTGTTCTAAGTTTACAGTTGCTGTGCTTTATTTCAAACATTTCCCTATAATTTTGGTTTGTTAGTTATACCATTCATTTGTATCTGTTTTATGTTTTAAATTTAATTTGGTATTTGATACAACTAATTTAATTTCATCTCAAAATTTCCAAGAGCAAGGTGAAAAGTGAGTGGTCTCTCACCGAGTACTCTTGATTTTATCCCAAATAATTATGAAGATTTTGTTCTTAAATTTAATCAAAATAATAATTACAATGATATTCATATTGTATTTGTAGCAAGCTATTGTTAAAAAAGTTATGATGAACCATTCTAGTTATCACAAAAAATATTTTCTTTGTGCTTAATTTATTTTAGGAAGTAGTTAAACTTTGGATTCCTCTCAACATATGTAGGTAATGAAGTGTTATTTGAAAATTAGTAAGATTTATCCCTAGCATCAAAAGTATTCTAAGGAATTAAACTTATAAAGTAGGTTATTTTTAATTTGAAACCAAGAGAAGTCAGACATCTACATGTTAAATGCAAAATAGTTGTGATACTTGTAATGTTTATATTCATCATTAAAAACAAAGTTTAACTGTTATAAAGATACTGAGTTATAATTTACAATGATGACAAGTTTTAGTCTAATTTTATATATTAGGTATATCTCATACAAACCTGCTCCTCATTCATAATATACAAGTTTAAAGTACTTGAAATTATTGATAATGATTTTTTAGTTTCTTACTACATATTTTGTTTCAAACAATTAATGCCAAGTAAAAAGGACTTAGTTTTAGTGTGAAGACATAAAAAAGAACCATATGAATTAATATGAAAGCTATACAGATAATGGGAATTTTGTTTTTAGTATTTGTTGGAGTCTTGTTTTGACAGTTTTGAAGGATGCAAGATTCAATTCTTTATCTGTTTTTCAGTACTCTAACTACAAACTTTGATAAGACCATAAAAGTGAAGCTCTGATTGAACCATGGAATTGTTAAAGATAAAGGTTGAACCATTTTCTGAAGATACTTTGTTGGATATCAAATTGGTGAAAAGTGAAGAAACAATTACATTACCTGTTAGTAAGTGTGTATGTTTATTATTCAAATGTATTATGATATCCCACACGTATTAGCTTGCTTTTATTACAATTAAACGCCATCCGCCATTTATTCACCCAAATAATCCAAATCCTTATGTAAACCAGTAGGATTCTGCTCACAGTCAGCAACACACAAAACTTTAATGTCATTGGCAAATTTAAGTAATATATTAATCATTCCTTTGTCTATTTCATTGGTGTAAATCAAAATTGGGAAAGATCCGAACACTGAGCCCTGAGGTACCCCACTCATGACATTAATCTAGTTTGACTGTACTTTATTTATAACAACACTCTGCTTTAAAATCATAAATAATATTCAACGTTAAACTGGTACACAATTAAAAACATTTTATTTAGGCCTGAGGATGACATTGTAATGTCGAAACATGTAGGCTATAGATAGGCCTAAATAAAAATTTCTTAATTGTTTACCAGTTTAACGTTGAATATTATTTATGATTTTAACTTTATACACAAGTGCCAAAATACAATAATAATACTCTTCTTTCTTTTGGGTGTCCAATGGGCCAACCTATCCTTACACCTACAGAGATAATTCTTTTAACAAGTCTTTTATGTGGTACCTTAGCTAATGCTTTCTGAAAATCCAAATGTACCAGACCTACACTTGTTCCTTCATCTACATAGGCAGTAACATATTTAAATAACATCAAAAGATTAGTGAGACAAATGTTTCCTCTAGTAAAACCATACTAAATAGCCAACAAAATTCCAAGGCATTACATCACCTCAGTACACAGAATAACTTGATTCCACATACATCTCTATGAGATTTGCAAGCCACTAGCCTTGAGCTAACTTCCACTAAATTAGCATGTGTTTAATGTTAATTGCACTAGTGCATGATGACATCATCACACAATGATAGCTGTCTACTAATAGGAGGGTGATATAACTTTCTTGTACAGTAGCTCCTCCTAAGCACTAACACTGAAAATAACTTCATTCTTTTCCACGACATTGATCGAGCAGTTCCAAAATACTTATCTTGAGAGATTGTACTTTAAACCTATTCACATCTGTTTTCTATCTTTATTTTACTGTTTGTGGCTGAAATAAAAACCTTTCAAACATAAATCAATGAATTATCACTCCTGTCATTAAACTGTTTACATGATTCTGTGGTGCAATAAACCAAGATTCCCACAGAGTTTATCTTTATCATAATCCTGGCTCCAAGAACACAGTGTGAGAGAATATATCAGCTTCTTTACATTATAGTGGTTGAAAAGAGAATTGTCTAAGGTAGTAAAAGTGCATGAGAATGTTTGTATTATATAGCATTTTAGAACATCTAGGCCAATCCATAAACATGTTGGGTGTTTCTATGTAAGGTATCCTCTTGGGGTGGTTTCTGAGGAATAACCAAATATGACCAATTCTTTAAAAATATAAAGGTAATTTAAGATAAGTTAGAACTAGAGGAAAGTCAGTTATAACAGTTATATATTATTATCTTGTTATAGATAAATACACATTATTTATACCTCCAGAAACTGAAGCTGATTTCTTAGAAGAAAGATCTTCACATGCCAGTTTAAAGTTTGGTGTATCAAAAAAGGAACAAGAAGAGAAATGTGATGGAGCTACAGAGAAAGCAGAGGTAACTTACAGACTCAAACTGTTACAGTTTTTCTTATTAAAGTGTTTGTGTAACAAAAATGATGTTTTCTGTACTTTATTTACATAGAGATTAATTAGTAGTGAGGTGTTTGTAGTCATATTACTATTACGTTTTATCTTCTGATACCACCATTCCAACTTTTACTATGTTGTATGTGTGGTCGTTACATGGAATATCAGTGCTGCTACATCATATCTTCTGATACTACCGTTCCAACTTTTTACTATGTTGTATGTGTGGTCGTTACGTGAAGTATCAGTCCTGCTACATCATATCATCTGATACTACCATTCCAGCTTTTACTATGTTGTATGTGTGGTCATTACATGGAGTATCAGTGCTACTACATCGTATCTTCTGATACTACCATTCCAACTTTTACTATGTTGTATGTGTGGTCGTTACATGGAATATCAGTGCTGCTACATCGTATCTTCTGATACTACCATTCCAGCTTTTACTATGTTGTATGTGTGGTCGTTACGTGGAATATCAGTGCTGCTACATCATATCTTCTGATACTACCATTCCAACTTTTACTATACTATGTTGTATGTGTGGTCATTACATGGAATATCAGTGCTGCTACATCATATCTTCTGATACTACCGTTCCAACTTTTATTATGTTGTATGTGTGGTCGTTACATGGAATATCAGTGCTACTACATGATATCTTCTGATACTACCATTCCAACTTTTACTATGTTGTATGTGTGGTCGTTACATGGAATATCAGTGCTACTACATCGTATCTTCTGATACTACCATTCCAACTTTTACTATGTTGTATGTGTGGTCGTTACATGGAGTATCAGTGCTACTACATCGTATCTTCTGATACTACCATTCCAACTTTTACTATGTTGTATGTGTGGTCGTTACATGGAATATCAGTGCTGCTACATCATATCTTCTGATGCTACCATTCCAACTTTTACTATGTTGTATGTGTGGTCGTTACATGGAATATCAGTGCTGCTACATCGTATCTTCTGATATTACCATTCCAGCTTTTACTATGTTGTATGTGTGGTTGTTACGTGGAGTATCAGTGCTGTTACATGATATCTTCTGATACTAACATTCCAACTTTTACTATGTTGTATGTGTGGTTGTTACATGAAGTATCAGTGCTGCTACATCGTATCTTCTGATACTACCATTCCAACTTTTACTATGTTGTACATGTGGTCGTTACGTGGAGTATCAGTGCTGCTACATCATACCTTCTGATATTACCATTCCAACTTTTACTATGTTGTATATGTGGTCGTTACGTGGAGTATCAGTGCTGCTACGTTGTATCTTCTGACACTACCATTTCAACTTTTTCTGTGTTGTGTGCCACTGTTTGAAGTATCTGTCCATTTTCCTTCATGTGTGGCATTCAGCCAGTCCATTGCCCACAGGTTTACATTCAGAAGAATCTTGTCTTTCTAGTGACTGTGAATATGACTATCAGCCATATGAGAAGGAAGTGTCAACTCTGGTAGGTTTAACAAACTTATTATATCTGAAGAAACAAAGAAGGTTAATTGGTTAGAAACTACAGCAGGCTATTTTAAGATTCAGAAATCAGACACATTGAAGGTTGGGAATTTTTTAAATATTTATTTAAGAATTTAAAACTTACATGTTATAGAAATTTAGATTATAAACTGTTTTCATGCCAAGTATATTGACATATATTGATAATAAAGTTCTTTAATTAAATTTTAAATATAACACTGTAACAGGTCATGACATGCGAACTTTGACTTGGCCATAGAGAGAGAGAGTTAAATCAATTATTCCTTCCTTATTAGAGTACATTCTGTAGCTAGTGAGTTATCCCTGGAATTTTTACAAAAAATTTATAGTTTATTTTGTGAGCAGGTTTTTTGTTTTGTGACCTAAGGTTGTGATGCTAATTAACTTGAGCACACTTATGTTCAGAACAAAAGATTTTGTGTGTAATGATCATGAAATTTATGTGAAATCAAAGAGAAACAAACTTTTTTAAAAATGCTGAAAATTTACTGTAAGGTTAACTACTTTTATTTATTTGCTTGATTAAGAAAACTATTTATATTTCCTTCAGAATAATGTATTATCTTTAAGTCATGTATGTTAATCCAAAACCTGATACTACAAGTAACAGAAATGAAACTGTTTTTCTCTTCCATAGATTTTTTCCATGTTCTTTTGTTAAAACAAACATTAAAAATATTTTAAGTGTTTAAATAGTTGTATTACTGTTCATTACAAGTAACTTTGTTAGATTTATATAGTAATGTTTTAATTTAGTACGTTGAAGAGACTATATATATATATTTAGCTATTTATTGATGCCATTAGCTGATATTTTTATTGACATTTTGAATGTGTTGTTTAATTTTAGAACATACTTATCAAAGTAAAAACAGAGCAGCCTAGTGATCTACCACAAGATGAGGTTATTTCAAAGTTCAGTTACAGCAGTGATGATGGTTTGGATAGTTCAAAGTATAGTGTGATGAATGTGAAAACAAAAACTGATTTCAAAGAACATTTACAACAAATTGAATCTAAGTTGGAAAGTACTTCTGGTAAGTATAAAAAATCTTCTGCAAACTTTAAATTCATTAACACTGGCTGAATAGTCTAGCTATTATCATTAACATACAATTCAATGAGATTATTAAAATTGGGAAATAGATATTGTTTTGATTATATTAATAATTTCAGGTATTTTATTTTCACATATAGTTAATTATTAATGTTTTATTTCCTTTCTTGCTCTTTACCATTCATTCTTCACAAGTCAATGGTACCCTCTAGGCATATTACAGTGTCTCTAGCAGACAAGAGCAGTCCTTTGGCAAACTTTTTGTGCACTACATAATATTGTAAGCATTGAGAATTGTTGGAAAGTATGATATATATTTAAAACATAACTAATACATAGTTAACTAAAATATAAAAGTAAGGCCTAAATACTATTTAACTGTATCTCTAACTATAACATATTTAGGTAAGAAACATCTGTAAATGCTACAGTCAATCAAGCAGCCAACAATACTACAGTCAGTTACATTTACCCTGTGACTACAATTGCACACCAATTCCAAAATAACTGTTGTCAGATTATAGTGTAAAATGAGCTTGTTCTATACACATGTTTGTAACATCTACATGTAGGCTATAAAGCTCAAACAAATCCATTGAAGGTGGGCATGGCACCTGTCAGGGATTGAAAAAATTTATTAGTTGTTTCAACTGCATTCAGTCAGAGATCTTTGAAATGTATGAGTCCAAAGGTTATGTACGTACATCTACACAACTACCATTGTGTTATTGAAGATACAGAATCCCAAAGTAGGGAATTTTTGTAGCTCCTTGTGAAAATACATCTGAAGTTTTAACTAGTTTTTAAAGGTTTCTTTTGAAATGAAGGAATTAAAACTTAAATACCATAACTTTGAATTATAATATAGATTATAATGTTATTTTAATTCACATAAATTGATATTAAAGATGTTTAGTTAGTTTTGAATGTAACGTGGTGAGTTGTATAGAAAAGTGTTTAAAGGGTTAAGAGAATAATACATTCCTTGATAATCAAGATAGAAGTAAGAAGGTATCTTTAAGAATTAATCTATGAAATTACTGTATGAAAGTTGATTCTAGACTTTGTCTACTGCAAACTTTTTCTTCTACATGGTCTGTTACCTGCATTTTATGTTTCTATCAACATGGAAGATGTGGAGAGAATTTTTATAAAGTGTGAAACTATGAAAACTGCATCATAATTGATTTTAACTATTAATATTTTTATATTTATATTGATTGTGTTCACTTAAATGAATTTATAATTTCATTTAATAAATGAATGTATGATTGATTTATTATTAATTATATTTTTTGTATAATATGTGTTGCTTTTAGATATAAACACCTGCTGTAGAAGTCAGTTTTCTGGTTATCATGTCTTAAGAAAAGAAGATTGCTTAAGAGAAGTTACAAAATTCAACAGTGATGTTTGTGGAGAAACAAATATAAATGAAAATAACCTAAAGGAATTTAATATACTCCAGGATACTGGTAAACCATACAATCAGGTAATCTGTGGACAAGACTTTGGAACAATGGATAATATAATACAACAAAAGAAGATACACACTGGAGAGAAATCATATACATATGTGGTTTGTGGAGAAAACTTCAGAAGAAATAGTTCCATCAAAGATCATCAAAGAACACACACTGGGGAGATACTTTACATTTGTACAGTTTGTGGAAAACAATTTGGAACAAATAAAAACTTGAAAATACATCAGAGAATTCATGCTGCTAAGAAACCTTACAGTTGTTCAGTTTGTGAAAAACAGTTTGGAACAAATAATGAATTAAAACTACATAAGAGTATACACCCTATGCAAAAACCTTATAGTTGTGCAGTTTGTGGAAAACAATTTAAATATAACAGTAACTTAAAAATACATCAAAGAATACATACTGGGGAGAGACCTTACAGTTGTGAAATTTGTAAAAAATGTTTTGGTACAAAAAGTGAATTAAGAATACATCAAAGAATACACACTGGAGAGAAACCTTACAGTTGTTTAGTGTGTAGGAAACACTTTCGAACAAATAATGTGTTAAAAGTACATCAGAGAATACACACTGGAGAGAAACCTTACAGTTGTGCAATTTGTGGAAAACAATTTGTATCAAATAGTGAATTAAACAAACATCAAAGGAAACACACTGGAGAGAAACCTTATAGTTGTATGGAGTGTGGGAAACACTTTAAAACAAATAGTGACTTAAAGAAACATCAAAGAATACACACTAGAGAGAAACTTTACAATTGTTTAGTGTGTAAGAAACACTTTCAAACAAAAGGTATGTTAAAAGTACATCAGGGAATACACACTGGGGAGAAACCTCATAGTTGTACAGATTGTGGAAAATGCTTTGGTACAAGTAGTATCTTAAAAATACATCAAAGAATACATACTGGGGAGAAACCTTATAGTTGTATGGTGTGTGGGAAACACTTTCAAACAAATGGTGTGTTAAAAGTACATCAAAGAATACACACTGGGGAGAAACCTTATAGTTGTGCAGTATGTGGAAAACAGTTTCGAACAAATAGTGATTTAAAAAAACATCAAAGAATACATACTGGTGAGAAACCTTACAGTTGTGTGGTGTGTGGGAAACATTTTACAACAAATAGTGACTTAAAGAAACATCAAAGAACACACACTGAAGAGAAACCTCAGCTGTGTAGTGTATAGGAAACAATTTGGAATAAACAGTAACTTAAAAAACACATTTAAGAACTCACATTGGGGAGAAATCTTACAGATGTTTAGTGTCTGGCAAAAATTTAAGAGGAAATGTTATCCTTAATTAAGATAAGAGACTACACACTTTTAAGAAACCATGTTGTTGTGTAGTGTGTGTATTAGAAATGTAAAATTGTACCTTACAAACAGATGAGAAGGATATTCTAGTCTAATCTGTTAAATATCCTGGTGAATGGTTGAGTAAAATTGGTATAGTGGTTTTTATGCCATTTAAATTACTTATAATAAAAATTCTACATCCTACCAAACTACACTTTTTACTTTGACCCAAAAACTGACAAAAGTGCAAAATTTCTGATCAACTCAAGATAAAAATATGATCTAAGACTTTTGGGATACTTTAGGAATCTGGTGGTTACATTGTGCTGAATAGATGGATCATGATCTAGCTACTTCTGAATGTAGTTACATTGTGCTGAATAGTTGGATCATGATCTAGCTACTTCTGAATGTGGTTACATTGTGCTGAATAGATGGATCATGATCTAGCTACTTCTGATTGTGGTTATGCTGTGTTAAGTTATGGAACACACAAACACTAGCAAGTACTGTCATAGAGTTGAAGAGGACATTCAAAAGTTAATATTTGTGGAAGTGTATCTGACACAACTACTTCCATTTTAACTAACCTTGTTACTTAACAGTACACATTGAGCAGGCAGTAAGAACAAATAAATAGTTAAATCCTCTCTAAAAAATGGAAAGTGAAAACAGTAAGCCTCAAGAATGTTCTATATTAATGAAATGACTTAGAAAGGAAAGTAAAAACATTTGTAAGTATTATAAATATAGTAATTAGCATAAGTTACTTTAACTCATCTAATTAAGTAGTGTAATACCATATATGGAAGTGTTATATCACTAGTATTAACTTTACTTAGTAAGAGCTTAAACTAACAGAAGATAAAACCAACTGTGGCCAAAAGAATTAAAGTGTAGATGTGAAGTTTGAACAGGTCATGATATTTGGTCAAATTTCTTAACCTGTAATCATTATCAAGAATATTGTTGAATTTTTCATGACAGTGAATGAATTTTGTATTTAAAATGTGATAGGATAAACACTGTTTGTGACAAATGCAACGGAGTTTATGATATTAGTCCAAGAAGTCCTATAATGTTGAACAAATTCTGTTGTATCTAATAAGCTGTGTATATAAAACATTGTAACATATTTGGAATGTTTTTAAATAAAGAGTTTATAACTTCAAAGTTGAAAGTGTCCACTTTATTGAAAACTTTGAAAATAAATGTTTCAATAATGATGTTGATGTCTAAATTAAGGTTTGTTTGTTTGTTTGTAATTAAGCACAAAGCTACACAATGGGCTATCTGTGCTCTGCCCACCACGGGTATCGAAACCCGGATTCTAGCGTCGTAAGTCCGCAGACATAGCGCTGTGCCACTGGGGGGGGGGGGGTATTAAATTAAGGTTCTGTGTTTTGATTTTTAGGGAAAGTTTTTTCATCTTATGGGGTAGAATTTTGTTTGGCTGTGTTAAGACAGTTTTGAAATAAAAAAAATATCACCAATATATCTGACTTAAATGTAAAGTTTAGTCATTCTTACCAAGATTTGTTATGTAGGAAAATTTCAGTTCAAAAAATTTAAACCTATTAGACGTGAATATGTCTCAGTTGTAGTTTTTTTAGCTCTAGCAATAAATTGTATCTCTATATTGTATTTAGTTTGGGAATCCAATTAATTTATGTATTACATTATAAGATTTAACAGAATGCAAACCAAAGTTCCATTAAAACTAACATGTTTCCGTATGATACTTTATATATTGGTTTTGAGAAAACAACTGTCATGTGCTGATGATGACATTGTTGAGACAATGATACCAAGTTTTAATGTATCAGTATGTCAGGTTTTTATGTGTGTATGGACCTGATTCTTTACAGTAGGTGTGAGTGACTTGTTGCAAATCAGTTTGAAAAATAAACAAACAGCACACAGTCCACTTATTTTAAAATAACATATTAAAACAAGTCAAACTTATATATAAATGTTACACTGATTACAGAGCTTTAAATAATTGCCTCAAAGTCCACAAAAGCTGATTCAATTACTTTAGAACACCATTGACAAGACAAAATATTCTTCTCTACTCTGTTATTGCAATACAATCTGTGACGATTTCATTTTCAAAATCACCACTGTACACTCTTTATGGCTAAACTCACAATCGCTCAGTTTAGATCTATCTAATTCTCTCTAACTACATTTTTAGATGCATAGTTATAGCGTGACAGTGGTCTAGAACGTTCCACATGCTATGAGATGTTATGATGCAATAATACCCAATTCAGTCAACGAGAAAAACTTAGAAGGTTCTAGTAACATGATTCAATGATATAAATAAAAATCACCAATTCATAATTAGTGAACGACACATTTTACGATTTATAAACAGTTAAGTAAACAAACCTGCAATAAACTGTCACTTCTAAAAATTACTAAATTCAACACTTGCACTATAATGTACTATCAAAATCATGATGTATTAAACTTAAATTGAAATAGTCATGTATATCTAGCAATAAGCTCCTCTTCAAGAAAAGCGCAGATAGCCTTCGTTAGCTTTGCGTGAAATTGAAAACAAACCAAACTTCAAGAAAAATATTTACAATATTTTTTTATACTATCTACAGTTTATCAACAAAGTATACTCATACAGTCTGTACCAACATTTGCAGTCCTCTTGATAGGTTTGGAGTTGAACTTCATTACAAGGTTTAGCTTTTGGAAACCTATGCAGAAGTGGTTTGAGCCCTCCCTGTTCTTCATGATTACGAGTGGTGAACATTAGGCTGAAATCAAAGGTTCAATTATTTCAGCTTCTAACATTACCTTAATAACTTGCTTGATCAGGTCTCTCATCACATAGATCATTTAGTAGAGCTTCACCTTGCCTGATTCCTGGTTATAGTCTCAATCTTGTGTTGCACAAGGTCTGTCTTGAGCGATCTATCTATAAAAACATTAGCTCTTGTATCTCTTCTGCTTTCCAGTCAGTTCTTGATTAATGTTGACGTCTTTGTATGTTTCATTTATACTCAGCAGTTTTGAGGTATAATAGGTCTTCATCTTCTGTGACAAAGTCACTGTCTTCTGGTTCTGCATCTATGATAGCCAAACCTGCATTGTCCATCTTTGCCTCAATAACTGAATCCATTAGATCTCCTTCCCTTTTGAAGCACATCTTCAATAGATTGGTGTAATAGATTTTGGTCCTCATGTGCAATTTCACCTTATTGTCAATTCAGTTGACCACTTCTTGCAATAGAAGTTGCCAGGGATATTGTCTGTCATCTGTTCTTCTAGGTGTCCTCTCAAAATTGACTCGTGAGACAACTTCATCACTTGAGTCTAGTATTCTGTTGGTACTATGATCTGTATAACTTCTCTAGTAGAACTGACTTGGTAGCTCTCGTACAGTACTCCCTTCTAGTCCTCTGTTCTGTAAGTTCTTTTACCATTTGCCTTGTGCTCGTCTTTCTCCCGGGCACTGTCTCAAAGTTTCTGCAGTGAAGGTTTTTTTTTCTCTGCTTCCTATAGTTTCCATAGACATACATTGTGGATAATGGTGCAAAGGAAAAAATGCTTTATGTGGTTGATTTCTTCATCTACGTAGTCTGTTAAACAGAGTCTTGTAGCTGTGTTTATGAGGTTTTTCAGTGTATTGATTTTTTGTGTGGTGTCATGAGTGGAATTCCAGGGGATGTAGCAGCCAGTGTGTGTGTGTTCTTGCGGTGAATTTTCGTTTTAAACTGTGTCCAGTCTAATAATAACAAATTTCCACCAACTATTTTTGAAAAATTATCCAAAATTCACCACAACAAAACTCAACTCACGAATCAAATTGGTACTAACAAACCCAACAACCTTTTATCCCTGAAACCAGCTCAAGAATAATCCACACTTGGGCAATACAAGCCATTAAACACAAAAATTACTGTCAACGTCAATTCTCTCAAAAACCCAACTCTAAATTAAAATTGTTATTAAACAAAAATTATTTAGAATCACACAATACCAACGTCATTTACATAATAACTGCCATAATTCTAAATCGGAGAAACAGGAAGAAAATTGGAAACCAGATTCACAGAACACAATAAAAACCTTTCCATGTTTTCCACCATTGCAACTCAAAAACCCATAAATAGACAGAAAGGAGAAAGTTGGTGCCATGGCCACAATATTTATTGCATGTTTTGTGTTTTGTACATGTATTTATTGATAGAATGTCTTGTTTTGGATGTAGAACTATTTATGACTAAGTGGGAGAATTTACTGTTGAAGAGAGAGATGGCTGCAGGAAAGAAGTATTGTTGAAGCCCTCTTCTGGACCTAAGACTATCGCCTATGTTGCAATAGTCCATGATATAGGTCAACCTACAACTGTAGACTTGAGGTATACTCATGTTTAAGGCACCCAGACAATTTGAATTGTTGATACAAATGAGTATTACTTTCAGCTTAAGGTAAGCATGGCTGAGTAAGAGATGTTGAAGTGGGGTGATGCCTGGTGAGTCTGAGACTGCGTGGGAAGGTAATAGTAGTGGTCATATGGGACTATACAATGCGTTGCCTTGAGTACTTTTCACCTTGGACCAATGACTGATCATGATTTGGTTTTGGAGGACCTGCAAACAGCTAGCATCTGGAAACAAAGTCATCGGTAGCACATTCTCCTGGCATTGGTTGGGATCCCATTAGAGAAAGGACAAACATATAATGACTCCAATGTAAAAGACTACCTCAAGGTTTCTTGTATTAATACAGAACCTTAGTTCTACTCAGTCTTAGCTTTTATTAATCATGTTTGG